CATGTCAATGGCCATAGTTAACCTGCCACTAAAAACAGTCTTACCCACTCCATAAAACACCTGAATCAAAACAATTATTACACTAGACTGTTGATGCTAATGTCTGTGTCGATAGAATGATTTTAGAAGTAAAACCAACCTTGCATTTGAAGGATTTATGTCTGAGCAGCAGCAGTGAGTTGTACTTCCTGATAGAAAGCTTGGCAGAGCCAGACTGATATCACCTAGCACCTATCTTAGTGGCAACGTAAAATTCTGCTGCTGCTGAGAAAATAGTCCGTCAACATGTGACGATTCATGCGATGCAAGGTAGTTTTATTTCAAACATTATTCTATCAACACAAACATTTACATCGACAGTCTGGTGTAATAATTGTTTTGCTTCGGGTGTTTTGTGGAGTGGGTAAGACTGTTTTTAGTGGCAGAATAACTATGGCTATTGACATGTACTAGCCTAGCACCAGCGACCTCTGCAAATACAAGGACTGGATTTAAAAAAGTGTCTCCACACGTCTTCAACACTCTGGCTCACTAGGAAATGAGGTCCTATGTCAAAAAATCCTGACTGTCCCTTTATTTATTTTATGTATTTATTTGAGACAGGGACAGCGCACAATTTTCACATTAACCTTGACAGGAGAGATGCATTGTACATCAGGTTGTAGCATCAGTGCTAATTTCCACCTGTCGTCCCTGGACAGGTTCATTGATTGATTGTATTTAACTGACCTTGACTATCAACTGTTCTGGAGACCTGTAGCATGTTTTGGGTTGATGGGGGAAACCGGAGCACCCGGAGGAAAAACATCCAGAAACGGGGAGAAACATGCAAACTGCACACAGAAAGGCCCTGGGCGACCTGGGGATCGAACCCAGAACCTTCTTGCTGTGAGGCATGAGTGCTAGCCACTCAGCCACCGTGTCGCCAAGTCAAGTCAATTCATAATGTGTTGGTTATTACAACTTCCTCATTTTACATCATTGTCTCATCATCTAAAGATGGACACTGTACTGTCTCATGTTCCACAGTACAGCATTAATCTTTACTATAGAAGAAGAAGGCACCATTAGGCCAACAATTTTATGAACACCAGTAATTGGAGATTGATTTAATACAATGCTATAGTTCATATAATACAAGCTATAGTCATTTTTAAAAGATGAAGAAGAAGAGTATTATGCAAAATCTATGTGTGTGTGTTTGACTGAGTGTATTTTATCATTGTTCCTTCATCAAAAACATGCCTGAAGAGGTTTTATATCCATTAGCGTTCTCTCTTGGGCCCTGCTCAACCCCTCCTTACAATTAACTGTAAGATACTGTTCCACAAGCCTGCGTCATCCATGCTCACACGCGACAATTCTTGATAAAGATACAAAAGCGTGATACAAAATACTGCGATACAGCTCTGAAGGGAGAGTGACTTAGCATGGAGAGCAAATAAATGGGAACCTGCAGCATTAAAAAACAAAAGTGGAAGTGAAACAAAGTGAATATACCATTTTCAAAACAATAAAAGGTAACATGGTGATCTAAAAATATGATGTGTTAGTCGTTACTATCACATAGAAGTAAAATACTCACTCTTTAAATAATTTTCCACAAGAGTCACTTTTTATTACTTAAAAAAACATCGTTCTTGAGATTCAGATCTATAAAGAATAGTTATGTTAATCAAATGCTCATATTCAGTCTTTAATCTTCTAAAATAACTAGTTTTCTTTCTAATGTTGTAACAGTTGTTTGTTCAGGTTTAACTTTGCGCAACAGATGACTGGAGTATTTTTTATTTACAAAAGAGTACTACATACGTACACATTTAACACTGTAAAGTATTTCATTGGTTTTATCTCTTTAACTCTTTTGTGAGATGTTTCTAATTACCGTCTTGTGATAACATTTACCAAAGCCTGACCAATTTTCCAGAGTGTGCTCCTGGCCGTTCGTGTGACAGCTGATGCCACTGCCCTGTGCCTCAGCTTTAGTCCGGTCCTCTCCAAAAAACCTTTAATTATTCCCAGCCCGAGGAGAGCGTGTTCAAAAACTTCCAAGAACGGCACAAGGAAACTCCTGCAGTCTGGAAAACATTTGACTCTGACCACTAGAGTTTTGATAGGAGACACTACACTGCACTGTTTCACATTCTCCGGCTTCACGGGCAGGAGCCAATTATAATTAATATTGATGGAGACAACCTGACAACACAGCAGTCCAGATTATGACACGTTTGAGGGAAGTAACAAAGGAAAAACATATGGACAGAATCAAAGCGTTTCTCAATTGTAATTCACAGTAGTGTTGTCAAAAATCAGTCACAAATCGATGCTAAAAGTAGTATCGAAAACTAGATACTACTTTGAATTGGTATCGATACTAAAAAAATCACATTCACAGGGAAGAAATGAACCTTTCCTGAATAGCTTTAAAATGACCTTTAGCTCTATCAGAACAAGTACAAGAGATATCATGCCACATAATATGTAATATGATATGATAATATAATATGAAAGAAAGCACTATTATTTCATGTTGAAAATCACATTCTATTGTCTAAAGAAAAAGAGTTTTTGTATCATCATTGTGGTATCGGAATCAGTATTGAGTATCAAGCCTTTTCTGTCAAAATGGAGTTTGAAATGTTAGTATCACGATGACACTAATTCAAAGTTATAGTTTATGGAGAGAGTGACATGTCTAATTACAATTAAACTTTTAAGTGATAATAATGCCAAGTGGATTTTATCAAGAGTGAAATAATATTGACATTGTGGTAAAATATAGTTTACTTTTGGAAAATGTCAGTTGAATGGAAAATTAACTCTCAATAAATGAACCTCAATAAATATTATAGAGGGAATTTGTCTCTAATGTGTCATTGTCTACTACTTCAAATGTTTATGCTTGGCGTTCTCAAATGGTTGGAATGCTCATGTCTATAGTTAGCTTTCAGTTTAAAATGCATAGAATTAATTTTAAGGTTATATATTATGCAAACATTGACTCCTGTGAGTCATAATAATTGGAATGAAGGACAACACAAATGTTGGCTTAAGGAGGCTATTATGGTTGAGAAACAAACCCAAAGGGCAGTAAACAGAGACGAGGGGGCCTGTCAACTTTCAAGCTCCTGGGATGCTGTCCTGGAGAAGTCAGACTGCAGATGGCGCTATTCTCCTTCCAGTACAGGAGAATTGTGCCAAAATCTTTGTAAATTTGCTTCAAGACACGTCACCATAACATCACATGACCCTTCTGAAGAAGGATGCATCTGAAACATGTTACAGTTTGTGTAAACAACACACTGGTCTGTACTTTATTTGGAGATGACTCTTGTGAGCTTTAACCCATGCTTGAATGCTGTTACCTCATCAAAAAACATACCTGGAGTTATGGTTTGTTTCATTCACATACTCAAAGCTCAAAATGCTTCGTTCCACTTTCTGTATTACTCCATGACATCACAAGGTGGAACAGAGTGTTTTCTGTTTAAGAGAAGTGTGCCTTAATATGCAGGATTTCTGTGTTAAAGTGGGAACAAAACAAAAGAAAACACAACTCCAGGTATGTTCTTCATAAGCAAACAACATCACAACATAGATCAGAAAATAGCCCATTAATATGGGACCTTTAATAGTTTTAAATGTGCATGCTGTGTTATGCTGGGAAGCTCAGTCATCTGAGAGCTCAGGATAGAGCCACTTCTCCATCTTTGACTCACAGGAATTCATTCACGGACACTAAAAGCTGACCCAAGGGAATACCTTGGACTTACTGATTTCTGATGATTCACCAGATCTCCTAATCCCCTGGGTGATGTCTGCTGGACCATTTTTCCTCTCAGATTTCCTCATAGTTCAAGAAGATTGGTCTGTTCTTAAATGTACTTGACTAATAAGAAAGATTTATGGGTGGAGCCAGGTCTTTTGCAAGCTCTAAATGCCAACAAATCACAAGTGGACTTTTACAAAAGACGACCCACAGTCCAATCATAGGGGAGGGACTATTAATGCAGGCAGCTTTGGTTGGAAATTATTTATTTTAGTTAAACTTGTGTACTGTGTTTTGAAGAAAAAAAAAAAAAAAATATATATATATATATATATATATATATATATATATATATATATATATATATATATATATATATATATATGCTATGTGTAGTCATATGTGATGAACCACAAGTATTTACCACAACTTTCTGCCTGCATACTTTTACTCCTACTTGAACTAACACTACTTTTACATGTGTAAAAGTTTTTTGCCCAAGGTGGGTAAGTTGACAAGTGACAAATGCTTTATGTGGGCAATATTAAACGTGTTTACTACTACAGATATGATTTAGTTTTTCTCATTTTTGTGTCTATGTTTTGTCCTTCCAGTTACTTTAACTTTAAATTATAAATCAGATATGTCCTGACAGTTACTTTTTAAGTTATACTCTTGCTATTTCTATACTATTTCTTGAACCACTGCCTTGTATTTCTACTTGACTAATATTATTTTGAAGTAATGTGACTCTTACTTGAGTACATTTTTGTCTTCTATCCACCTTTGATGACAGACCATTGATTGATTTCTGATTATACCTCCAGATGAAAAATAGATAAAAATAGCTCAGATTGATTCTTGGAGCCACAGTGAACATCATTTTACAATCTAGCTTTACATTTCATCCTAATTTAAACAATTTTGTCCCATCCTTTTCTGATGTCTGACTGTTCTCTTTCACTTCACTTTTTCAGTCTTTGGTTCAAAATGTGGTTCATTCCCAAACCACATCAAACATAAAATCAAAATCTTAATAGACCTTTTCTTTCGCCTAAAATGCCACCTTAGCACAGCCTAAATCCACTCTGCTCTCCGTGGCGTCCTCTCCCCGTCTCCTGGATGCAGTGATGCTCCGCTCGTACCCTCTCCTCGCGCAGGGGGCGGGGCAGACACAACTTTCCTTAGCGGTGATTTGATGATGCCGCGGTTCCCCCAGTGTCAGTTCGCGCGGTGGTTCAGGTTCAGCCCAGCCTCCTGTCGGTGTGGCGGTGCGATCCTCCAAAGCCTGAGCGCCTTTTTTTTCCACGGAACCCTTTAGCATCCGTGTGAGGAGCAGAGGATCTACCGGACCCGTGGATAAGTCGCATCACCTACACTCGCTCACACATGGCGCTCTAGAGGACTCGCTAACCTGTGGATTTTGGAAGGGATACCGCTGATTTTAAACCCCCCCAATTGGCTGTCGGTGTACGGGACATCTCTCACCATGGAGACGCAGAGGTGGCAAGCCAGGTGGAAAACGAAAAGACGGCTATGGGACTCAACGCTAACCGCTATCATCACGCTCGTTTTGCTTGTACAAACCGCTACTGTCCGCGCAGGTAAGCAGCACCAGCGTCCAGTGTCAGTGTCCAAGCAGATGGAGTGACAGGGGATGTGTTTTTTTTTTTCTTTTGTCTTTTTTGGCACGTCGCCTAATGATTGATCCAAAGCGTTAGTTTCTTTCCAAAACAAGTTATTTATTATTTTTAGTCAATAAAAAGTGATGCGTAATGACGGACGCATTGCCCACAACCGAAGCATCACTCCCCAAATAGTTAATAGGCTATATTAACTACAAATAAACTGATAAATAAAATTGTGTCTCCGCCCTGATATTGTGTCAACTGGTAGCGCAAGAAAAGCAGAAAGATATCTTTAGAGAGACTGCTGAAAAAGTAAATTTTCCGTGCGTAATGATGGATGGACCACAATTTACGCACGCCAATAGCTATAAACCAATGCAAAGTCAAGTCGATACTTTTGGGTTTTATAAAACTTCTAGTGAATTAAGGTAGTTTTAAATACTTGTTTTCACTTTACCACTAATTTGTAACCTTGTATCACATAAAACAGACCGGCAAAGTGATGCCAAGTGAGAAAAAAAACTGGCTACCTTATCTTAAAACTGCATTCAGCCTTTGATATCAGATGTGGTGAGTGAGATATAAACTTGCCTGATTTGTCATGACTAAAATATCACTCAGCAAAAAGTACATGAAAAGTGATGAAATTATGCACACAGATTCAGTAATACAACACTTTATTTCCATTATTTGACTGTATAGTATAAATGTCTTTTGTGTGCCTTGACTTGGCAGCTGTGTTGGAAAGTGATTGGCAGAGGAGAGGTTTTACACACACTCAAGTATAACTGGAGCTCACCGCAGTTTATGCTTGAATAATGGCCCTGTAGTGAAATGACAGTGATTAAAGCCGAAGTAGGGAATATTTAGGGAAAATGTGGCAAGATCCGGAGATGTCATGCCAACTAGTTAACCATATAGGCTACTGTATATGAGCAGCAGGGAGGGGCTGGTTGCAATTATAGCTGGGTTCGGCAAAGTTGAAGGGAAAAAAAAGTACATTAGAAGACTCAAAGGTGGGTAGAGTATCCTAAAATTGTACCCAAGTAAGAGTAATATTACTTCAAAATAATACTGCTCAAATAGAAGTACAAAGTAGTGGTTCAAGAATTGACTGAAGTTAAAAAGTATTTGAGGAAAGTACTAAGAGTAAATTAAAGAGTAAATGCACAAAATCTGGTATTTTCAAAAGATTTACACAAATGCCAGAAACACAAATGTTCAAATAATTCCATATTGCCAACTTAAAGCTTTTGCAGACTTACTCAAAGTAGAAAGAGTCACCAAAAATATCACTCAAGTTGGAGTAAATGCTGCTAGAAAAGTACAACTTCTTTAAAAAGTTAATCATGCAAATGTTACTGAATACACCCCACCTCTGCTAAAAATATATCTTAATTGCTGTCTATTCCACTGGTGTTGAAAACAAGACAATAGCTGTTAAAAGAGTATAACCTTTTGTGATGTCACAGGCCATAGTTTCCATGTATGGCAAAATGTTAAAATTAGCTCTGGTTTTGTACGTCAGCGGGCCAATCAAGCTGTGGGAACGACTGGTCCAATATGGGAATGGGAGGAGATTCAATATGGCTGATTCAAGAACCTCACCTTTCTAAAGACCAGCAGTATAATTAGATCAAGGGTTTATTTACGTCAGTGGGCAGTGCGCCAATCAAAATTCACCAAAAAAATGGAGAAGTAAGCTTAGTAGCGGTTATTTAGTGGTCACTTAATTGGTACCAGATTCAAGATGGCAGCCATAGTTACAAGAGATTTCAAAAGTCTATTGAGGTAATCTGAACTGAATTTCTCTGCTACTACTAGTACTACTGCTACTTCTGCTACTAGTACTAATAATAATAATCCTGGTGCTATTAAGTCAAGCAACCAGTCATGACTTCAGTGTAGTATTTTCTATTCACTTCATCAGATCTTCTTTATAATATTTGAAATAAACCCTCTTATTGCTGTAGTACTCAGTTACATTTACTGTACTTGATTCACTCAAGAATGTGTACTTTTCAGAGCACAGCAGCATAGGTTTACTCCGACTTGAGTAGTATTTTTTATTATTGAAGTAACAGTACTCTTACTTGACAAATAAAAGCTGTGGTTTCTCTTCCCACTGTGAGTCTAGAAGTGACACAAGTTTTAAGTTGAAAATATGAAATGATTTAAACGTGTGTTTTATTTTTGTGGATATTCTGTGAAAATACCTGATTTTTTGCAATTTATAAGATGTTATATCCAGATTAGTTACTTTTTCAGTTACTCTTAGTATTCCCAGATAGTTTTTTACTGTTACTTGAGTAATTTCTTGGAGCACTACTTAATACTTCTACTTGAGTGATATTATTTTGAATTAACGTTACTCTTAGTTAAAGTTTGGATACTCTACCCACCTCTGATCAGTGGTTTTGCACTGTAGAATTCTGGGAGTGAATTTTTGGTCTGAAAGGATCACCGTCTTTCCACATTATCTGGGCTCTCACTTAAAGAGGCGTCGATGGAAAAAGAGAAAAGAAAAAAACGCAGAGAGCTTTAAAAACACATATGTGGGTCACATTAAGAGCTCCTCTCAGTCTGGTCCCTTTGTCTATAAACTCCATACTCTTTACAGCTGAGACTTTGACTGGAGATCCAGCATTATCCAAGACAACAAGAGGATGGGGCTGATCTGAGCTATAGTGGGCATTTATGAGGATGTGACAAGTTATTCTCCAAAACTAACTTCAATAATCTTTTGGGATGAGATGTGGTCTGCATGTAGTAGCAATGTATTTCTTTTGTATTTCAGGCTTTGGGATGGATTTGTAGCATACCAGATTTAATCATGCAATGTCTTCAGAGATTTTACTGTAGATTACTGTTGTCACGATACTATTTCAAACTTGATTTCAATGCAAAAGAAGAGAGTACCGATTTTGATGATCTTTTAAGAATCTCTTTTTTAGACGATATTGTAGTTTTCAACATACAATCAGTGTTGGGAAATAACTAAATACTGAAAAGACATATTCTGAATACTAATGTTGAGTAATTTTATTCCGGTATAGTTACTTTCTCATTTGATAGTATTCAGAATACAGTTACTTTCTTAAATTAAAAGGAATTCATGGTGATAGTTTATCATGTAATTTTGGATTTGCACTGCAAGTTATTAGTAAGAAAAAAAGAAAATGCCACTCTTGCAATGGGTCTGGATGAGTTTTTTCATTTTCTAATTAGACATAAGTTAATGTATGACAAAGAGGGCAACACAAACGTGGTATAAAAGTACTCCAGGTATTCAGAATACAGTACTTTGTTTGGCCAAATCTGTTTTCTAAAATACATTTTGCACAATATAATACATTCAGGTGTTCAGTATTCTGTAACTAAATACATTTTCAAGTATTCTTCCCAACACTGCATACAATAATTGCATTTGTTTATGATACCAAGTAAACTTAACACTAGTTATGATCAAACTTAAGATGAATCTATTCAAGGAAGGTCAAATTTTATCCAGTTATGTGATTTTTTTTCAGTATCAGTACCTACTTAAATGAGGATCTAGTTTCCCTACTAGTTTTAATATCTATTAGTGTCAGTTTTCAATACTTTTGACAAACCTGCAATAGATGCAAAAAGAGAACATTATCTATGGTTTGTATGTCATCATGCAAGCTGTATATCCAGTAAATGGGAGGAAATTCAAGACGGCCAACAATTCACCTTTCTTTAGATCTATACAGGGCAGAGTAAAAGACCAATGGTGCAATTAGTTTGTGGTTTATATGTACGTCAGTGGGCTGTGAGCCAATCAGAATGCACTAAGAATGGAGAGGTAAACATAGTAGCAGTTATTTACTGTCAGATAATTAGTACCAGATTCAAGATGGCTGCCCATACCTTTTGTGACCAAGCTGTGCTTAGACTTTGAGTAAGTTCTCAAAATGTGTATTGAAATGTAGTGAGTTAACTATACACAAGTAGAAGTAGGGCATAGTTAGATATAAGGCCTACTGGAAAGTAGAAAAGTATACATGAGAAATGAGAGGTACACTAGGCAAAGAGTTCACTTTTTTAACCTTTGTGTTTGCCAGGTGTGCAAACCAAAGCATTTTAAATTACATTTCGATGCTAAAGAATAGAATCGATACTCAAAACTGATTACTGATTACACACTGTATAAAGAAGTGGACATCACCACAGCCTTCAGACAAAGTGGAAAATAAAAACACCAGGATCATGTATAGCGGGTTAATAGGAATATTTACTGCAGCAGTTACAAAAGGGTGACAATTTCCTAATTGGAAACAAAGTCGAAGGAGCCGGAAGCTATGTCCATTTATATACACAGTCTATGATTCCAATAGCCAGGGTAACGCCACCTACTGCCTCCGCTAAATGTCTCTCCAGCGACTAGGTCAGGAATCAGAATACACCAGACAGTCTGCAAGAACCCCGGAAGTGCGAGTTCAAGCACCAGCCAATCAGAGAAGAGTTATATGTACTTTGTAGCAACGATTCCCAAGACTGAGGATTTAAAGGTGGAACAAAGAGAATGTTTATTGAATTTTATCAAGGGGAAAAATGTTATTGCCCTTCTTCCTACGGGATTTGGGAAAAGCTTAATATACCAGTTAACCCCGTTCGCGAAGCATTACATACGTCACAACCAAATAGCAGCAATTGGTTAAATGAAAAAAGTACCCACCTAACATCGAACAAACGAATTCTAACGCTGTGAGGTCAGACAGTTTCTACGAAGTGAAACCGGCTGATGAATCAGTCTGATTCCAATGCCATGATGATCATTAAAAAGGAAAAAAAAAAACATTGTATTTGAACAGTAGAATGGAATTTTAAACATTAAATAATACCATTTATACTTAGACTAGATCTAGTATGAATTAATATTTAATTTTCGATACTTTTGACGACCCTAGCGCTAACGATCCTCCAACTTTGTGTAGACTGATGAACTAGGA